TGAAAATAAACACCGATGATTGACGAAACATCAAAATTAATGTCATCATAAATATTTAAAAGATATATGAAAGTCTTGCCGTTGATAGATATTAATTTAGTTATACTCCGGTGAGGTATACACAATAGCATTAACAATATTTTCTTTCATGACAAAATATGTTAAACCTTTCATGGATATCGTGCGTGTATGATTTTCTTTCTTTTTAAAATATCATATATGAATAAAATAAAGTTACAATTAAATGGATGCTATTTGAAAATTAATTTAGAATAGATATGGTTGTCCCTTGTTCCCATATGTAATGGGGTAAGGGGAGGTAAGATAGTAGGTTGCCCACAACACTAGGTTGAGAGCAACTTTCATAATGAAATGCCCTCTATGAGACTCGATCCCACGACCTCAATGTTAAAAACCTTGTGCTCTACCAACTGAGCTGGTATAATTGTGGTAATGGTGTTGGAATTTTTAATTATTGAAAGATGGTTAAGGATAAGCTTCAGATGTCGATTCTGGAGGCTTCTCATTGAGCTGCCACATGTTTAGAATAAGGACATCATCGTGAAACGACGAAACAGAGTCGTGACATTTATGGTTTCAAAATTCGGGTACCTTTGTCATCGCCAGTGGTCCCGTTCCGTTGCCCGCTCGAGGCCTATTACCAATAGGAGGATCCCCTCCTACAATTTCAAACCTCTAATTTCATTTCTTTATAGGTTTATCATTTTAGACTTATCATTTTATAATATTTTACATTTATATTAGTTAAGTATTAATTTATATAAAAATACAAAAAAACCACAAAGAACAATTGATCTAATCTAATAAATCGATATTAAAATAGGTTTGAATTGAATTTAAGTTTAAATGAAAAAATGGTCCTAAGTATTGAAGAAGTAGCTACCAACTAACTCGTTATGATTAAAAAAAGCACGAGGAAAGCAAACAAGTAAAACTCACCATCAGTGCCTCTTGGGGTCTTTGCAAATGGCCCAGCACCTTTATCAAATCTCATTATGATGCCCGCATTAATTAATGAGATGTAAAAATTAGGTTTAATTCTAATCATAACCAACCACGACATTAAGATTAAGCCGCCATCTTACAGATGAGTGACAGATAAACTCTAGTGTACATTTACAATAGCGAGAAATTAGTCACTGCTAACATGTTTGCCAATCCATGGAAATCGGTGTGCACACGTACTGCAGTGTGGCCTGTGGGCGCTGTCTGTTTTAGACGAACGGCCTCGTGTAGACGGTGGTTTTGTGATGGGGAGGTGTGTGTGCCTGAAAGTAAGAGCTGGAACCAGAAAAAGACGGCAGATTACTTGACAAAAAGAGGAATATATGGTTTTTTCTTCTTCTTACATTATAGGATCAGTGTCTCTCATCAGTTATGTAAAACCTCTGCACACGTGTTTTTAAACAATGCATGGAATCTTTTATCCATGCAATAATCTGTTTCTAATGCACACATTGATAAACTTACGGATAATGGTTTACTAATTGTAGGATGAAACGATGAAGTATATATAATAAATTAGGTAAACACGTATATATAGTTTTATTTATGTAACTTATAAGGTATAGAAATTAGGCTAGGGCTGCATTAACTCAAAAACAGTTGGTTGTTCCACAAATTTCGTGGTTCACAACAGTTGAAGCACACAACTAACATTGCCTCCTCTCATTGAATCTCGTTCCTGTTGCTTATTGATGGAATGTGATCATAATTAATTGAGTCGGTCAGAGTTTGTTGAACCATAAACCTTTTGGATTGGGCATGGGTTTACGCCAAGGGTTCATCAATGCTTATGCAGAACACACACATGAATTTATGTTAGAGGGTGTGAATTTATGAAATTATATTAAAAAATTTTAAGGGTGCAATATTAGAGAATCAATAGAAAATACAATAAAAATTTTAAAATATAAGAAAAATTAAAATTTTCAGAGGGTACGATTATACTTTCCAACACTCCATCCCTGTGGTCATGCTTGAGCCAATGTCCATGTGTCATGTTTCCATGAGATTTTAACTTAAAAAAACCATATGCTCTTAGATGGAGAATTAAAAACTTAAAGTGATTTTTCATTATGTAAATTTCTTTTGTAATTGAATAATTAAAATATTATATGTATAATTATAAAGATTTAAACTTATAGGTTAAACTAATATATATATATATATATATATATATATATATATATATATAGTTTTGAGATTTACCTTATAAAATATTAATGATTAACCAAAGAAGGAATCAATCACATTTATATACAATTCTCATTTCTATGTATAATCTAATCTAATCTATCAGGTTAGGTACCTAATTCGAAGCTTAAATCTTCATTTCCATTTACTTTTCCACATCAACATTAATTAACCGAAAGAATCAGATATAATTATTTTTATTATTATGAATAAAAGACGAGTGATTAAGAAGGTTGCCTACCTTCAATTACAGCCGTGTTGTTGCGGGCAAACATTTTTATCTGCTAATTCGGCAAACGTTAATGCCTTGGGATGGTAGTCAAGTCCTCGTACTTTAGACCATTTTAACTTTTCTTTATTTAAATTTATTTTTTAAGCTTAATATTTTTTTAAATCTCCCAAATATTAGGATGATTTTTTTTTTAATAATTTAAGGTGATTATAAGATATTGTCTTTTCATAATCGTTCTTAGACATTGACAATGCACACACATATGCAAATGCGTCTATTTAAACTCATGACATAGATGGAGAACAACACTATCTTCAACCACTGATGTCACTTGATAAGTTCAATATCATAATTTTTTTTAATTTGAACATATAATGTGATCCTTAAATAAGTTTAATTTACATTAATATGATAATATTTAGTCTCTTTAGTTTAATGATGTTATCGTGTGATAAATAAATTAAACTTGGTTGATTGAATTTTCAAGTGACTTTAGTTATATGATTGGAAAATAATAAAAAATGAATTTCACATCCTCACTTAACAACATCAAATAATTTTATTATCAGTCTGAACATACTAGTATTATTATAAAATAAAAATTAAATCTCAAATTTTAATATTGTAGAGGAATTAAATCAAAATTGGGCCTTAATTATTGTTGCGGAGAGGCCATTTATGGTGTCCGAACACCCTTTACTCTTGGACCTTGTTAGTTGTTATCGTATCCATTGGGGCCGAATAATATATGGGTTTTTGAAATATTGTACGTAAACCCATTCTTCAAATGGACTGTTTGCCACTTGCAAGTCAGTGGACGAAAAGTAAATTTATTTGAATTGATATAATCTCAATGATTTTTTTCTTAGTACAAAGTGTTTATAAGATAATATTTATTTATAATTTTTTAATTTATTAACAATGTATACACTATAGATATGAAACTCATGAGCTTTAAAAAGAATAATATTTCCTTTCATTATTGAGATCATGGATTCTATATAATATGCGTGTGTTTAATGTATATTTGGGTCGTTGTTAACATGCAGCAGCTGTTCACAATTGGAAAGGCCAACGATTGCAGCATTGCTTGCACTGGGATGGGTGCGAAGAACTCCCAACCTTCAACCTGCACCATGTGCCAATTAAATCAGGTTATAGACTGATTTTCAATTAGACTTTTAGATCAAATGGAAAATCAAAACAGATTCGATCCGACCTGTTGTATCTCTACGTAATAATATCTGAATTTTAAAAAAAATTAAAATAAATAAGGGAACTGTTTGCAATGTGAAAAAGATGGCTTTTATTGATAACATTAAACGTAAGCTTCACATCTGGTCCGAGAGAAATATCAGCTACGCAGGGAGATTAAAACTCATAAAATCTATTTTATTTAATATTAGCAATCACTGGTGCAGGTAACTTGTTCTGCCAACTTCAATCCTTAAAAAGGTAGAACAAATCTGTTCCTGGTTTTTCTGGAAATGAGTAGATAAATCTACTGTTGGTGCAAGAATTAGCTAGGGGAAAATTACCCTTCCTAAATTCGAAGGAGGACTAAGACTGAAAAATATTAAAACTTGGAATAGTGCATGCCTGCTGAGTCTCATTCGAAAAATTATTGCGGGCAATGATTCTCTATGGGTAGCTTGGCTAAAAGCTTATGTATTCAAGGAACAAGAATCAAGCTGGTGTAAACTTTAGTTGGAGCATAAGAAGGTTTTTGAAATTACGGACAGAAGCTTCACCAATTATTTCAGTCGATCATGTGCTAACAAGGGACATATGGGACCTGATCCGATTCAAAGAACATAAAGTAACTTGGCACAAATTAATTTGGTTCCCATTACACATTCCAAAGTTAAGTTTGATTGCCTGGATGATAATACTCAATCGGTTGCCAACTAGAGACCGACTCAATACAATGGGAATTTACACTGATCTCCACTGTATAAATTGCGACACTAATATGGAGTCAAGGGACCACCTCTCCATGCAATGCCCACTCGTAGGAGCTCTCTGGAATGCTATATGAAACTTAATGGGATGAATTCATCTTCCATGACTTGGGTTGAAATGGTTTCAAAGGCTTTTTCTACATGGAAAGGAATGCCACTCCTTATCACCATTTTAAAAATTTATTAGACTGCATTTCTTTACTTCATCTGACAGGAAAGAAATCAAAGAATCTTCTTGGAACGTGTGGAATGTTTGCTCAAAGAAGTTAAAGACGTTATTGGGATCCGTTTTAGGGTACTAATATTAATAGAATTGATAGTACTAATCTTAAGCTTTGTAATGTTTGAAATATAGTCTAACTAATCTTTTTTTTATTTAGGTCAATTTCTTTTATTTTATTTTTACTGTTGATTGGTTGTATTTTAACTTTACTTTAACTAATAAAATTCTGATTTATCCAAAAGAAAAATATTACTTTTTTTAGCAAAGCAAATTCAAACCAGTCACTCAAAAAGAAAATCAAAAGAGTGCATAATTACAGTAAGACCCTGTTTGGATTTTCGGGGGGAGGGGGGGGGGGAGGAAAATGCAAAAGAAAACAACCTCAAAACGACAAGTAGCTAGTTACATTCCCACCGTTTTGCATTCTTTAATTCTCTGTTCTTCTTTCTATGTACTTAACTAAAATCCTAAGCTGATCAAGATCTTACTTTTCTTTCACCAAACAGCGGATGGTCAAGTGGCAAAAACCCAAATTACATACTGTAAGTCCTTGTAGTTTGGGTTAAATTTTATAAATTAAATTTACTATTTCTTTTTTTCAATTCTGGTGTTGGGTAAGTTCTTAATTCCTCTTGGTTTCAAGTTCAATTTTTTAGTACATGTAAGCTCTTGCCTGATGTTTGGATGCTGAGCAAACTGGGAAAAATAAAAGAAATATCGTTTAATCCAAATATGCAACGAGTCTTGAACTTGTGATCACCATCTTCTTCACTCCTGAGAAATTGGAAACATATTTGGTTGCTGGGAAAACAAAAAGAAATATAACCCAAAAAAGATTTGCTCAGAAATTCGAGGGAACGAAGAAAAAGATGTATAATTTTTGTATACTTTATTTTTTCTATGAATAAATTCTTTGTTTTGGAGCATTGGTTGTCTTGTTTACTTATAAAATTTATATATATGCAACAGAAATTGGAGGCTTAACCGAGGATTGATTTTTGTTGGTTTGCTAAAGATAATTACAGCTGAGATGAACGATTGAAAATGAAGAACAATTAATCAAAAGCTTCTTTCCTCTACTTAAAATAAAGAAAAACTTTACCAAATGGAGCAGACACCTGAGAACCTTCATGAGAGAAATGATCATGTTCTTGATATACCAAATGACGGTCAACTTGGGAATAATGTCGAATCAACTAATTCTCAGGAACCTGTGATTCACCCAACTCCTTCTGGTGGATCAAATCATGGGAGTTTTATATCATCTTTTTGCTTTTGGTTTTATATTAGACTAGTTTTCAATATAAGTCAGATTGTTGCATCAGTAGCTGTTCTAGCTGTTTCCAGGAATGAGAAGCCACAGGCTCCATTGTCCACTTGGATTGTGGGTTACGCTGCAGGGTGTGCTGCTTGTATTCCCATCCTTTTCCACCATTGTTTTCTTCCGTATCCTACGTAAGCATTTACCTTACTTGTTTGACATTTTTCAATGCTAAAATCCTTAGTACTTGATGTTCGTAATTAGCTAGCTTGTGCTTTAAGATGCTTCTCGGTGTTCTACTGTTCTTGGCGTGGAATCATTTTCTTGAATTATATATCTTTGCTTCCTTTGCCTTTTGTTGAGAGGTTTGAAAATTTTGTCATCGCCTGCAATAGAAGTTATCAAGCCTTGGAATTGTTTAAGTTTCTCCTGTTACAATAGATTCATGTATCTCCGTACTTAAACTTCTTCAACATAACAACACTTGGCTCCGTTGTTGCATGGTCCTCTTTACATATCTCAGTTTCTGAACTTTTTGATTTCAGCTTGAAGTTTTTTTATTGCTCTTGGAACCTGTCATGTTTTTTTATCTCAAAGGACAGTCCTGATTATATTCATGTTTAAGAAAGAGTTGAACATGTTCTTCTGGTGTAAATTTAAGCCTCAGACAGTATGTTTTATATTTTGTTTTTCTGAGTTGTTTTTGGTTTGGTCCTAACATTTGCTTTTCGGAGTGTTTTTTACACAACTTCAATCAATCTTATTTATATGTGATTGCCGATGCATTTTGCATTATAACATGGCAGGCTTAGCAGATTGTTGGAGCAATTTAAATGGGTGCTAAAAGCTTACTTTTTTGTCTGGTTTATTGTCGGAAATATTTGGCTATTTGGAGGTTACTCATCCTCAGGGGTTTCAAATTTACACAGGTGTCGACACTTGCCTGTATAAGTATTATACTGCTTGTTGGCTTTTCTCTTGTCCGGAAATAAACTGATTTGTCTGATTCCATTGTAGGTTATGCATGATGTTTCTTGTCTTTAGCTATCTCGAGTTTACTATACCCTTTATCTTGTGTGCGGTTTTAGCGTTCTGTTGTGGGGACCTTGGTCTAATTAGAGGAGCCTCTTCGGAATGCATCGATTCTCTGCCAACATACACTTTCAAGTTGCAGAAAGATGGGAGTGGAAGCATAAAGAAAACTAATTCTGAAGTTGAAGGACGGGATAAAGCAACAGGAGCCGAAACGGACTGTGCAATTCCAGGGGATGATGCTGTAAGTTCTCGGATCCCTCGCCCATAAGACAAATTACTTGTGCTTTGTGCTCTAGGGAGCATTATGATCACGTAGTTTGCATTGTTTTATTTTCGACCGAAAACTGGCGGTCAGCTTAATTTATATCGACATTATGCAGGTTTGCTGCATTTGTTTGACGAGTTATGAGGACAATGACATGCTGAAGGAGCTCCCTTGTTCTCATGCCTTTCATAAAAGCTGCGTAGATAAATGGCTTAAGATGAAAGCGGTCTGTCCACTTTGCAAATGCACGATTTTGTCGAAGAAATAAGGGTTTCTGTTTTTTGTTAATTGTATTACTGCAGTAGTACGCAATCACACTTCTGAGTACATTCCTCTATGCTACCGAATGGGGTCGGCAATGGTGGAAAAGATGAGAAGAGGGAGAAAGAAAATAAGAAATCTAAAATGCAAAAGATTGTACATGCAATGATATTTGTCACACTTGAATACAATCTGTTGATATCAACATTTTTATTCAATTTTAATAGATAAGAGAGTTAATAAACTCCCAGCAGGTTGCCCTGGTATGTCCAAAAATGTTCAATTCATGTGTAAAAATACAGATTAAGCTAATTGTTGTTTTCTGATGATGTTTGGTAGGCATTTTGAACCTCTCACCAGATGCAACCAGATGCCTAAAATGAACAGATTTCATTTTTCTCTTATAACAAAAGTCAAATTCACGAAAGCCATTTACTGATGTTTTATTCCGAATTAACAAATTGAACCGAAGAGGGTAAAATGTTAATATGATAAAAGTAAAACTGAAGCTCTTGTGCCGCTTTACCGCACCGGCTGCTGATTGTAGTGGTTCTTCTCTTTTTTCTTTGCAGCTGCAAGCCTTGCACTCCTCGCAGCAGCCTCATTGGCAGCAGCTCGTGCAGCTGCATCCATCTCTTTACTCGATTTCTTCTTCTTTGCAGGAACTACCTTTTTCAGCTTCTCCTTCACATCCACAGGAGATGGCTCATCTGGCTTCTTAGTTTCACCGGTTTCCTTGCCAACATTTCCAGCATCAGAGCCTTCTGGTTGTCCCTGCGATGATTCTTTCGCCTCCTTCGATGATTTATCCTTCTTTTTCTTCTTTTTGGCACTCTTGCTCTCGAAAGGAGCACTCTCTTTCTTTTCAATTTTCCCATTGCTCTCTGGTTTTTTCTGTTCAGCACCTGCAATCGGGAAAAGTATCTTTCATGTAAGAGCAAGCGGAAAACTACCAAGAAATCAATCAAGAGGAAATAAACAGGGAATGGTAAGCATAAAGAAAACCGCACTAACAAAAAAACAACTACCACGTGATGTTCGGTTTCCAACTTCAACCACTACAAGATTAAGATTTCAACTCATTACATTTTCAGATAAATGCTAAAGAAGATACTAGCAAAAAATATATATTGAATCGTCATTAGGAGTAATCAGAGCTCTGGTTAACCAGACAAAGCTCCGAACATAAAACATATGAACCACGGAATGTAATAAATGACTTTGAAAGAGAGAAATCTTCCTGAATTGTCATTGTTGAACTAGGAAAGTTTTCATAGTGGATATAGGTTTTCTTCTAGCAATTTCAGCTCTAAAATTTGCCTCATTGCAAATAAATGAAACCATACATCTTCCTTGGAATGAGAGACTAATAAGCATAAGTGGGATAGTATAAATTACCTTGGGAATCATCCGGGCCACCTGTCTGTGGTTTTGCATATCCTAACTCAGCAAGAACAGCATCGAGTTCCTCAAGCCCCTTCTTCTTCAGTTCCTTCTTTGAAAGCATTTTTTCTGCCTCTTTGTTAACCGGAGAGGGTTCAGGAGGCTTGCTAATAACAGGCTGCACTTCTGCCTGTGTCTCAGTTTCGTTTTCATGTTCTTCTTCAACATCATCATCAACTTCGTCAAGATCATCTTCTTCGATTTCACTTTCCTGGAATGCAAAGTAAAATAAAACATAACTACCTGATTAAACCAAAGAACTGATGGTACTCAGATAATTTTTAGGTACTAAAAAGAATATGACATCCAAATCAATTTGGAAGGCATCCATGCATCCTAGATATTTTGTAATTTGATTTTCATAGCGTTGAACATTAACCATAGCCAAAATGACTAAATACGAATGCGAACAAAACTAATAGGCATTCAACTGTCAAGCACAGCACATTAATCACATGCATGTTGAAGAATCAAGTTTAGTTTCATATGACTAAATGATAAGATTGAATGCACGTGTATAGCAAGTACAGTGGCAACTCAAGGACACATTATATACGTGTTAACTTCGTGAATCGAGTCTAAGTTCAGTTAACTTAAGACCAGAATAATGATCAAATCGATATTACCGTTCAACAACATTCTATGGATTCGGAGGCAAAAGTAAAAAAAAAAAAAAAAAAAAAGCTAACTTGGAAACTACATACAGCAGGTATGTTATCAATTATCAGCATCATTTGTTCAATAAACATATAAACTATTCCCCAACAGTTCATTATGATGTTCATAAAATCCACAAGTATTATTGCATTCGCAATACAAAGCTTAAACAATTACAATAAATTTTAGTCAAAAGCACACATAATTTGCAACATTTTCCCAGCTAAAACAATTTCCTTCCAAAGGAAGCATAATCATCATCCATCATATTCATGAACATACATACATGCATACATTACATCCTATCTATTATCACCAACATGATCAACAGAACATCCAATCTTCTCATCATTTGGATAATCCAGAAACCAAAACAATATCAAAAACAAAAGTTCGTAATCTAATCATTGAAGAAGAAGAAGAAGAAAACGAAGTTCAGACCTCTAAAACAGGCCCAGGTTCTTTAGGAATGCCCCAAGCAGAGCCAGGAGGAGCCATCGAGGCAAAATAATCATCATCATCTTCTTCATCAACATCAGCCCAAGACTTCACCTTGAGAGGTGATGGGCCCCAAAACACCTCTTTCTTCTCGGCTTCCTTCCTCAATCCTTTCATCCCTTTGGTCTTAGAAGAAGAACCCGGATTTTCTTTCTCGTTTCCCTTCTTCTTCTTCTTCAAACTCCCGAGCGCAGCAAAAACATTGGTGCTGTTAATCACCAACGGATCCTCCTTCCGGCCCTTCCCTCCTCCCACCATTTTTTCTCCCCCCAGAAAACAATTTTTTATGATACTCTTAATTCTAAATATAACACTAGTTTATCAAAGAAACAATTTTTAAGCAATGAAAATTCCTGGGGTTGCAAAAAAAGAAAAAGAAAAACGATCTTTCTATGGGGTTTCCCCGGATGATCTGAGAAATGCTTGAGCGTATTGTGACGAACCACGTTTTGGTGCTGGAAACGGGAAAGTGAAGGAACCAAGGTGTTCTTTAAACGCAGGTTAAGTGTCTTCAAGTTTCTGCTTATAAAGAAAATACAGAAATAAAACTGAGCAAGGGAAGAAATAAAAAACTCTTTTCTACTTTTTGTTTAATTTCCTTTTTGTTGTTTGGAATCTGGGAAAAAAAATTATTTTGTTAGAGAAAGAAACGTGGCGTTTGCTGGGGGATTCTTAGGGTAAATGCACGTAAATGGATTTTTTTTTTTTGGTTTTAGGGTAAAGAAATTAAAGGCGGGTGGCGCACGAAGACTGTGTTCTTAGATGAATATGAGCCGTTAGATTTTACTGATCATCAGATTGGACTGTGTAATTGGAAATAAGTGGGGCCCAAGCCCATTGGACCTTTTTACATTTTTTTCTTTTTCTTTTTGGTCAAATAAAAATAAATGATACTAATGTATGGGGGGAAAAATAAATTACATGGCGTTTGGCTGTCATGCAAACAATTTGGACCCACTTTATAATAAATTTATCTGATTTTTCTTAAAAAGCTAAATAAATATAAATATTAAATATTTATACATCTCCACCAAAAATTTAAGGTTACTATTATATATTTATATATCGACAGTAGATTTTTTTTATAAAATAAAAAATAAATCTCACATCCTAATAATCAATAGTATTTTTAATTTCTTTATATCATCATCATCAAAAAAAATTGAGAACTCTAAAAAGATTAGAGTAATTAGTTGACTTAAATCTTATCTCAATTTTAAAAATTATTCAATAATCAATGTTAATACCTAGTTAAAGGATGACAATTTATTCAGAATTTAAATAATTATTAATTAAATACAACTTATAAAATATTTGTTTTGGTAAACATAGTAGAATTAATAATCAAGAGGAGGATAGTTGCGTCCCCACGTGATGAATGACAAAGCCATAGATTTTGCTCTTCAATTTCTCAACCTTGTCTGCCAATGGTTCATCCCCCTTTGCAACCGCCCGGTCTAACCAATCGTTGACCCGTTTCAACTGCGATAATACCATTGCTATCGAACCACAATCCAAAGGTAATGATTTCAAGGATTCCTCAATGAAGCCAACAAACCACATTTGCATCTCAGATTTCAACTTCATTGCAAAGTGCACCGTCTCTTCCATACCGTCGCCTCTAGTCCACGTGTCAGCATTATGTTTCCACTGTAGTTGTGGCACTGAGCTAGCTTTGAGTTGGTTCTTGGGTCTCTGCAAAGCTGATAGAGACTCATTGTTTTCAAGGGACAAAAGGGAGACTATCTCAAGATCAGTTGTCACTGCAGCTTCCACCCATAGAGAAGACGATTTCGAGTGCTTTGTCGACAGATTTTCCGAGTCGGATTTGTGGTTAGCTGCGATGGTCTCAGCGATCCCGGTATGCTTCTCGACATCGTTGTAAATGGATAGAAATCGGTCAATGGTCGGCAAGGGATTCCCAACCTTGGACTTCGAGGAAAGTTCTGAAAACATGCTGGAAAATATATGGACAGATGCATCAAGTCATTTGCTACGTTTATTTATTTGTCTGTCTCCCATTGCAAGATTTATTGTGATAGGAACGAGTTGCATGCATATGTAGGTGAGAATGGATCCAAACCTTAAATTCCTGACAAGAGACTCAGTAGCAATGGCCTCCTCCAATGCCTCTGCTGCTGTTTTAGAAGCAACAACTCTCCTTTGCATAGCCTCCTGTATTAAGACAATGTTAACCTCATTAGTTCAGTGATGGTGACAAGCACTGGTACGATCATACCATTGTACCTACTGTTTATAGTGAAACTACAATACGAAATAAATAGCATTGAAAATCACCAAATTGTAAGAAGTTAATTCTTTTACCAGAAGCTACACCATATTTATTGCTACTCTACCAGATGCATCACATCAATCAAGCACCATCTTAATTGGGAAGCAAGCAAGCTTTATATTATATAAAGGGAAGAAGGATTTGCTTAGCTTCTTGATAAGTCCTGAAACCTGCCCATACCTTTCCAAGCATTGCAAGGTTAGCAGAAAGGGTGTCCCATGAAACACTGCCATCACTCCATTTCTTTTCATGGATGGTGATTCCCAAAGCCCCACCGCCACATGCTGGTTTCTCCAAGGTGGAGCCACCTTCAGGTGGGCTAGCTTTCCTTTTCTCATTGCTAGTAGAACTTTCGTCATTGGATTTGTGACTATGTACATCAGTTAAACGTCTTGAAATGGCCGTCTAGGAAAAGGATATATCATGCCAAAAATTCAGAAATTATACAACAAAGAGACGCATGTAACTCAAATTGAGAAATTATCGCTAATGCAATTATATATCAACTTCATCTTCAGGTTTTCTCAACTTTGTTTTTCATTTTTTGACTTTAGTGATTAATTAATCAAGCTGGCAAAAATTAAGAAAGCCAATTTAGCTACCTGAGTCCGCAAAATTGCTTGCAAATCAGGCTTAGTCTTAACAGACGCTTTCTGCCTCAGCTCCCCTGAACCCTTCTCTGGTTGTTCATCCCAGCTCTTCCTACTACTCTTGGCGGAACCCACCAAAGCTTCAGACACCTTCGAAAACCCAGCAACAATCGTTGCCATTTTCTTCTTTGAATCCGCTACAACCGGCGAAACCTTCAACCCACCGGACAAACTCCTTGACGGAGAAAGCGATGGTCTTCGTGCACTCGGTGATGCCTGCTTGCTTGCGTTGGGCGAAGGTTGCCTATACCTCGAAGGCACTATGATCACCGGCTCTCTCGCAACTTTCTTTCCATCTTCCTTCGTTGCCACCAAGGTCGGTACCACAGATTTCGATGGTACCGGAGAAGCCGATCTCTTTACTTTCCCCGCCGGAGATGGATCTCTTTCCGCAACAGCCGCTTTTGTTTTCTTTGAAACCGAACGTTTCGCCGCTGCTGGAGACGAAAATCTTTGCAAATTTTCATTACCTTCAGTATTACCTCTGGGCGCGAGAGGCTGCCGTTTTCTGGACTTCGCGATTTTTGAATCCTTGTTTTTGGCTGGAGTTTTCTGTCGCTCCAATTTCATATGAGACAGATCAGCCACAACCGGATCCACGGAGAATTCGGATTCAGATACGGGTTGTACAACGAAATCCCTTTGGGAAGACGAAATGCGGGCAATGAGAGGGTCAGGGGAACCAACGAAAGAGTGCCGACCGGCGACCGGTCGAATACCGGAGACACGTGGCACAGGGGAGTCAAAATGGAAGCGTTCAACGTAAACGAACTGACCTAGCTGGAGCCGATTGGAGAGAATTAACTCAGTATCGCGCTCGGAGAGGGAGACGTAGGTGGAGTTGAGGGAATCGGAGAGTTGAACGTAGAAGCCGTGGATGGGACAGAGATCGTGGGAGCCGGCGAGGGCAGGGACGATGCCGATGACTTGGAGGAGAGGTGAGCGGTGGTCTCCGGTGACACGGGAAGATGAATTCATGGATTGGAGGAGCTTTAGGAGGATTCCAGGAGTAAGCGAAGCCATAGCGAGGGAGCGTGCTAAGACAGTGGGAGCGTAAAGAGGATGAAATGCAGGATTTAACCGTTGCGAGTTACGAGACTTTAAATTCAAAATCCCGCTAATTTTTCCTACCAGGTATCAAAAGCCTATCACTACGCGCCACGTGGAGTCTTAGCTTTCAACTATGAAAACCGGATGCTGCGAGATCAGCTCCTTGAAACAAAATATACTTGATTTGGGATCATGGTTAAACCAATTTTATTTATCTTAATCATAGCCTTATATTCCTATTAGATGGAGATCCAGTTTTTGGGTCAATCCAAATTTTATCTAATATGAATTTAAAGAGATTTCATTTGATTTGAATTTTAGATAAAAATCATATTCGATTTAACTCAACCTAGGTTTAGAAATATTGGATGGATTCTTTATTCCTCCGATATGCTTTTTGGTGATTTGTTGCATGATTGATCAAAGTAGTGATAAACAAAACTAGTTCCTGGTTAAAAAGGAAAAACTAGTTTGAAATTAAAAAAATTTGGCATTGAAATCAACATGCAAGTACGAAGTGGGGCAAATTCTGTACCATATACTGTTTAACTCTGCAGAGGTAAAAAGACAACGGAATCTGAGGAACAAAATTGTGTTATTTACATTTTGGTTCTACCATCCAAATGTTAGCACTTAGCAGACAGGCCAGCGCTTCAAGTTCTTGACCTGAACCTTGCGAGTTGAGAGTTGAATTTGCAGTGGATTCCTGGGAATCACAGCTTCTACCTCCGGGGTTGGATTAAGTCAATCTGAAATAGAATGAGCGTGCCAACATAGGAGCATGGCGACACAGCGTCCCAAGATGTAAAAACGAGTTTTCTGCTGCTTTGCTATCGACAAACACCTCCTCCTAAAACTGGGTTTCTGCGTCCTGCAACAACCCTTCCCTTTGGAGCTTGAGACCACCAAGTAAGGAGTAGCAGACATGGACTTTGGAATTTGGAGTACAAACATAAACCCACTGCTTCTGGCTTTTCTAGAGCCCCTCTTTTACTTCTTTATATAAACACAAATAACTAAACGTTTGGCGATTGTGGTCCCCTTGAAAACTTAAGATTCTAGATGTCGTATATGTCATTTCTTGGAAGTAAACCATTTTTTCAGGTTTAGGACATTGGCTGTTCTTGTCCTTATCCTTATCTTGCATATATATAAAGGAAGCAAAGTCAGATAATATAAACTGCAATTCCAATATAATTATTCATTAGTTGTCATTATTGGACTAACATTTTAGAAAGTTAAGGGCACTGTGAAAGTGACATCACCACCCCAATGCAAATTGTTCTTTTAAATTGATTGCTGACGAATAATGGGTTGTTGTAACATGAGATTTGACCTGGATTTATGAGGATTGTTAATTGTCTTTTATTATTTTATTTGGATTAGGAGTGCTTGTATCAAAGTATAATTGGAAGAAGAAAAAACCATTTCATTAAATATTCAATATATTCTTAATGCATTAAACCGTTTTTTAATGTATTATAAGTATAGATGGACATTATATCTGCATTTGATAACTTTTGATTTCATCAGTTATTATAAAATCGAGTTTTCTTTATTTAAAAGATATTAAGTTCGAGTTGCATTAAATTTCTTAAATAAAATTATTTTTTATATATGTAGATATAACTGTAATAATATTCATCTATTTATATTTTTTTAATTAATTTTTTATTTTATTTAATAAAAAATTAGATATATATTTATATCAAATCAAATATAAAATTTTATTCTAGAAATCAAATTAAATTTAATTCAAACTAGATGATGAGTGGAAAGAAAAACTATTAAAATTAACCAAAAACTCGCTCCGAATTATATGTTAGTACTGCGGGGGATGAATTATTTTAATCAAAACTATAGGACAACCAGCTACTTCTAGAAACAGTAGCAGCCAAATATTACACCTCTTTATATTTTAATAAACTATGGAGTATTTAAAATATTATAGTCAAAAGAAATAATGGAAAATCTAGAGAAATAGATAAGACAAGCGGAAGGGGGATTGTCCTAATTCTGCACACGTTTTCCTTTTCATTCCTCCGCAGCCGCCCTAAATAACTGCTGCCCACCGTGGTACGATTTTTTTTAATAATTAAATGCAGCTGCTCAAATTAAAAATAGAGAAAATAATATATGATTTTAACCAATTTTTTTCGGATTTGTCAAAATGACCAACAAAATCGTAATGCGATTTCTAATTCGCAACGTGATCTCTATTATCGCAAATCAGTTTCCATATTCGCAACGCGATTATGACTATCGCAATGCAATTTTCCAATTTCGCGTTGCGATTTTCCCAATTCGCAATGCGAATAAGTAAATCGCAACGCGAATTAGGAAAATCACAATGCGATACTGACTATCGCAACGCGATAATACAAAATCGCAACGCGATTCTGACTTTCGCAACGCGATTCTGACTTTCGCAACGCGATTCTGACTTTCGCAACGCGATTCTGACTTTCGCAACGAGATAATACATAATCGCAATGCGATTTTTAAAGTTCGCAACAGGTTTTAGTTTCACAATATCCTTCTGAGTGGGACATACCAGATGACTTACAAACAGTTTTGCCACCAGCCATGGACAGAAGGTTACCTGGCCGACCAAAAGGTCACGATCATATACCGTCTAAGGGTGAAAAGAAGAAGAGATCGACATGTAGTCGGTGCAAGGAAAGTGGTCATACAATGTTGACATGTGGTTCCCCAGTGCAATCACAATCATCTTTTCCTCTACCAAAATATGGATCCTCATCAAAATCCAAAGCTCATATGGTGTCAAGCAAAAGGCAATCAAAATCGCAATCATCTTCAAAATCCCAATCACAACCGGCTTCACCTTTTGGGACTGTTAACTTAGGTGATTTTTAAATGCAAACGTTGTATTATGTGTATTTTATGTGTGCACTTTTAACATTTTCAGTTAGGCATGTATTAGTAACTTGAGTTTGAACATTGTTATGATATGTTCAGTTGTTATCATTTATTAGACATTCATTTGACTATCGCAACGGGGAAATCGCAACGCGAAAATGGCTATCGCAACGCGAAAATGGCTATCGCAACGAGCAAATCGCAATGCGAAATGAAAATTGCATTACGATTTTCTCGTTGCGATTTTCTCGTTGCGATTTTCATTTCGCATTGCGATTCTCTCGTTGCGATAGTCAGTTTCGTGTTGCGATAGTCTGTTTTGCCTTCAACATAATACAGATTGAAAATCAACAAATCAACTATTACATTTCAATCAATTAAACAAGCACAAATAAGAATTATGTACACATCAATTAAACAAATCAACATTTACAAATAATTTTTTACAAATCAATTAAACAATCAAAAAATAATAATAATTCTTATTTCCTCATCAATTATTGAATCAATGAATCAACTTTTGCACTCGTACATCCATTTCACTCAGCTCACTTAAGGATTAACCTGCAGAAACCAAACATTTGCTCAAACAAGACTTCCTACACATCTAAAACCTACAAACAGCAAATTATTGAATTCTAGGTACTTAACCAAACATTTTCAAACCAAAAGGAGTATATATGTTTACAAAACTTGCATTTGACTTACCAATTAACAATGGATACTTTCATAACGCGGATGCAGGTAGGCAGCGTCTCGAATATATCGCTCTAGCCATATAATGCCGAAACCACAAGCCTACTGTAGCTCTATCTCTATCGGTGGGAGGTAAAAACTATGTGCTTCCCGTCATCAAACGCGCCAAGCACATGCATACGAGAGGACCACAATCCCCTCTGGCTCCCGGCGATTGTTGTGGCGCGGTATCGTCTCTGATAACTGTGACATTGAACTTCTTTGGCTTCTTGTGTCCAGAATGAGTCCAATAATTAATCACATCCAAGAATTTAGCCAAATGAGAGCTCCATCCCTTGATAATATCTCTCAAATCAGACAGTGATATGTAATTTATCATGCTGTCATATACTATTATCTTCAGGGATGGGAGCTGAAGTTGGACGAGAAGCAAATGACGACGTTCCAAAACAGGGATAAACACCTGCAATCATAAGTAATAATTCATTTATTTGAGCACTTATTTATGAACACCTTTAAAAATTTAAAAAATAAACACTAATCTTATCGACCTCCCACCATGCAGGATAAAGTTTAACTTGTCCATTGCCCAACGAAAATGATTCATCTCGTTGATTCTTCAAGTGAACTGCGTGAAAAGCTGCTGGCATTATTGTATATCGCGAATTTTTTTTTATTTTTCCTAAGCTTCCTTATTATTAGAAGACGTGACACTCACGCATCGATATGATGTTTTACAAAAAAAGACATATATTAGTGAATTACATTAATTTTTAAAAAAATTAATCAAAATCATATATAAGATAAATATAAGACTTACCTCCCCATCGAAATATCCACTATCTTCAACCCCTAATAACACACCCCACCAAGACCGATTAAGCAACAAATACATCTCATCGTTGAGTTTGCTTATGTCAGTGTAACACCTTTGGCTCCACTCATGTAGATAAAAATCAACTGCGGTCTTAGCCCAAAGGGTATTATCCAGAATTATTTTCGGTAGTTGTCTCCTCTCCACTTCAGATACCGGAAGGGTACTAACCGGTAACTCATACGAGAGCCAACTCTCATCCATCATGTCCGGCAACGGTGGGGGTTTCTCAATAATTCGATATATTACCCCATGTGAATTGGGCTCTGGAAAGGTGGGAGGGACCTCTTCAACGATGACAGTGGCCTCTTGAACGGTGGGGGGACTCTTGAGGGATGATAGGGACCTCTTGAACGATTGGAGGGGACTCTTGAGGGATGACAGGTGAGTCGGACTTCTTCTTGCGGAGTCTTCGCACCATTGAGGTGAACAGAGACGTAATAGCACGTGCACGCCGTCTGATGCGTGACTCCGTCGTACAAGGAAAACCCGACGTAAAGCATCCACCTTATCGGGCCGCTAAAAAAATTAATACATAAATCAGTAAATAAACAGAC